GACTCGACGGCACATAACAACAACAACAACAACAACAAACTGACCTTGGATTCCTGTGATAAACCATTCTAGTTCAGAATGTATTATCCTATTTTTTATATTGTTCAATCTGATTTGCTGGTATTTTCTAAAAGAATGTTTGTAGCTATCTTAATAAGGGATATTGTTCTATAGTTTTTTTCTAAGGAAATCTGTTTCACATTGTGGTGTCACGTTTATACCAAACTCATAAAATGAATTGGGAAGTTTTGCCTCTTCCTTTATTTTCTTAAAGATTTTTGAAAGACCTTAAAAAAGTTTCTGGAAAAGTTGTCTGATTACTTCCCTAAATGTTTGAGAGAATTTACCAGTGAACTACCAGGGCTGGAATTTTCTTTCTGGCAAGGTTTTTGATTATTAATTGAATTTATTTAATAGATATAGGCTTGTTCAGATTTTCTAATTTTTGTATCTCTTTAGGTAACTTGTGCTCTTCAAAGAAATCCTTACATTATATGTAAAGTTTTTTTAATTTAAAAAATTTATTTAAAGTTATATTTTAAAATGAGCTAATAATACATTTCTTCCCTCAAAGGAAGCAGCAAAGAGAATGTTTCATAAATTAAAAAAAAAAATTGTAAAAGCATGATTGAATCAAATATTTGAGTTAATAGAATATTCTGGTTACCTGTAATTTTCTTTAGTGCTCTGTTTTTAAAAATAAAATTTAGAACCTTGTCAAGAATAAGAATTCCAGAACATTTAATTATGCTCATGAGGAACCTATACATGGACTAGGAGGCTGTGGTTCGAACATAACAAGGAGGGAGATAAAGCATGGTTTAGAATCACAGTGGGAGTGTGTCAGGGTTATATCCTTTCACCACACTTACTCAATTTGTATGCTGAAGAAATAATCTGAGAAGCTGGACTATATGAAGAAGAATGTGGCATCAGGATTGGAGGAAGACTCATTAACCACCTGTAATATGCAGATGATACAACCTTGCTTGTTTAAAGTGAAGATGACTTGAAGCACTTACTGATGAATATTAAAGACTACAGTCTGGAGTATGGATTACATCTCAGCATGAAGAACACAAAAATCCTCACAACTGGGCAACATCACAATAAATGGAGAAAAGATTGAAGTTGTCAAAGATTTCATATTGCTTAGTTCAACAATCAACACCAATGGAAGTAGCAGTCAAGAGATTGGAGGATGCATTGCATTGAGCAAATCTGCTGCAAAAAACCTGTTTAGAGTGCTGAAGAGCAAAGATATCACTTTGAAGACTAAGGTGCACCTAACCCAAGCCATGGTGTTTTTAGTCGTCTCATATGCATGTGAAAGCTGGACAGTGAACAAGGAGACAGAAGAAGAGTTGATGCTTTTGAGTTGTGGTGCTGGTGAAGAATACTGAAAGTGCCATGGACTGCCAGAAGAACTAATACATCTGTCCCGGGAGAAGTGCAGCCCGAATGCTCCTTGGAAGTGAGAATGGTCAGAATTTGTCTCACCTACTTTGGTCATGTCAGAAGGGACCATTCCCTGGAGAGGGATATCATGGTTGGTAAAGTGGAGGGTCAGCGAAAAAGAAGACCTTCAATGAGGTGGATTGATAACAGTGGCTGCAATGATGGGCTGGGGTATAGCAAGTATTGTGGGGCTGGTGCAGGACTCGGCAGTGTTTTGTTCTGTTGTACACAGGGTCACTGTGAGACAGAGCCGACTCCATAGCACCTAACAGCAACAACAACATAAATGCTTATTGTGTTTAACTTCAAGTGAAATATAGAAGGCAAAAGAAAATAACTGACTCTTACAGTGTATTTTTTAAAAACATATTTGTTGAGTTTTTCTTTAAACATATGAAATGTTTTAAAAAAAGAATCATGCCTCTTTGCTTAAAGATTCTTTTTAATTTAAGATTGTTATGTAACAATTAGCCATATTAAAGAAAGCTAGTTGCTGAAAACTTATATTCTGTATTTTTTAATAATTATTTTATTCTCTTCCTTAAGATAAATAGTTTGGAATCCAAAGATTATCTCCAGGTTTGTCTTCGAATAAGACCATTAACACAGTCAGAAAAGGATCATGAATCTGAGGTTTGTGTTGCACATAATTGGGTTTTAGTATTTTACTTGCATTAAATGGGTGGAATATGATGTTCTTATTTATTTATTTTGAGTGTATATTCTAGGGCTGTGTGTGTATTCTGGATTCACAGACTATTCTGCTTAAAGATCCCCAAAACATCGTTGGTCAGTCAAGTGAGAAAAACTCTGGGCAAATGGCACAAAAATTCAGTTTTTCCAAGGTAAGTACCCATGTGAAACTGAAGGCTTTTTTTTTTTTTTTTTTTTTGAAAAAGAAACTTGTTTCAAATTGCTCTCAAACCAAAACCAAACTCACAGCTGTTGAGTTACTTGTGACTCATAGCTACCCTCATTCTGTTTCCAAGGCTGTAAATCTTTACGGAAGTAGATCACCCCGTCTTCCATGGAGCGGCTGGTGGGTTTGAACCACTGACCTTATGGTTAGCAGCCAAGTGCCTTATCCACTATACCATCAGAGTTCCTCTTCAAATTGCTCTGTAAAAGTATATAATGAACTATATATTTTGTTCTAATGAGCCTTAGATTTTAGGCAACTTTTTTTTCACCTCAATTGTAGGCTCATATTTCAAGTCTGTAAATACATAGGTTGTTGTCGTTGTTGTTATGTGCCGTCGAGTCGGCCCCGACTCATAGCGACCCCTCCTTGGGTTTCTGAGGCAGTATCACTATGGAAGTAGGATTGCCCAACCTTCCTTCCGAGGAGTGGCTGGTGGGTTTGAACCGTCAGCCTTCTGGTTAGCAGGCAAGTGACTTAGCCACTATGCTACCAGAGCTCCCAAATACATAGGTAGAAGTGGATAAATCAGTATATAGTACTTAAACACCCTCTCCCCTTTTTTAAAATCATAGGTTCCTTTCAAAACTTGATTGGCTATGTCAGATTATGCTTGTTAAAATTTCTGATATTTAATATTTCAACTATCAAATGTATTTATGGGAGTGAGTATAATGACGGGTTACAAGAATGAACCTTATAAAACCAGTCTTTTTAATTTTTAAAACATGAGAGAAGATAGAACTCATTCTTCAAATAACTTGAATTTCCTAAGTCATTTTAACTGCTCTTTTAGGTTTTTGGCCCAGATACTACACAGAAGGAATTCTTTCAGGGTTGTATTATGCAGCTAGTAAAAGACCTCTTGAAAGGACAAAGCCGGCTGATTTTCACTTACGGGGTCACCAACTCAGGAAAAACATACACAATTCAAGGTAAATATATTGTTTCTCTTTTGGTAGAAAGGAAAAAAAGAAGCAGTAATATTCACTCTTTTTTCATAATACTTGCATATAGTGTTTCCATCACTTGGTATGTTTGCTGTATTTTTAATAGTAATAGTATACTGAATGTATTGGGAATGGCTTTTAATTCTGATTGATTTAGTTCACTTATGAAACTACTTAACCCATATGATAGAGAATAATCTTTGATGATGGAAATTCAAAAAGAGAATAAATATAACAATGGATAGCCAGGGAGACATATATATTTCATTTTATTTTTGTACTTTGTGACTATGGGTAATTATAAAACTTAATATTCTGGCCTGATTTAAATGTTAAATTTCAAGTTTTGTATCAGAATAGTAGGTGATAAAATATCATACAGTTAAGACTAACATGGTGGAAAACTTGAGTAATCCCTCAAGTTCTATTACTTTTCTCTTAGTTGTTTACTCTTACTTGGGAGCTCTGGTGGCGTAGTGGTTAAAGCATTTGGCTACTAAGCAAAAGGTCAGCAGTTCGAACCCACCAGCCTCTCTACAGGAGAAAGATGAGGCAGTCTGCTTCTGTAAATGATTATAGCCTTAGAATCCCTATGGGACAGATTTACTCTATCCTAAATGGTTATTATGAGTCAGAATCAACTCAGTGGCAGTGGTTTTTTATTGGTGGTACACCCATTGTCATTGAATTGATTCTGACTTACGCTACTCTATAAGATAATTTACTGCTGCTCTGTAGGGTTTCCAAGCTTATGCATCTTTATGGGAGCAGACCGCTACATCTTTCTCCTGTGGAGCAGCTGAGTGTTTACTGCACTGAATCACCAGGGCCCTCTATTGGTGACATAAAGGATCCTTAATATTGCAGGAACATTTCTTTCTTCCTAACACTCTGTAAGAGTATACACTTAGTCTTCAGTATCAACATGATTCCAAAGTCTGGGGTTCTATACAAAAATCAGCATTATGCAAAAATAGAAGTTGATCACATCAGTTCACAAAAATAGGAGGTGACTGCATCATTACATAGTTGCCAAAGCACAGTGTAATGACCCAGCCAAGTTTACACATAACCTTAACCCTCACAGCCAGCATCACGCTCACCTCACACTTCAGCATTCATTACTGCCAGATGTACATTGTTAATGTGCAAAATTGTTGAATTGTAGATTTTTACTATTGTTGTAAATGCAAAATGTCAGATGAGATAGTAAGTGAGGAGTAGGTGTAAAGCAAAAATTCTTTTCACAAAAATTCATATGGGTTGCTCATTTTTCTACAGGTACAGAAGAAAATACTGGTATTTTGCCTCGAACTTTGAATGTGTTATTTGACAGTCTGCGGGAAAGACTATATACAAAGATGAACCTTAAACCACATAGGTCCAGAGAATACTTACGGTTATCATCAGATCAAGAGAAAGAAGAAGTTGCTAACAAAAGTACGTTACTTAGGCAAATAAAAGAGGTATGTAAATTTTTTTGTATGTAAAATATATATAAATCATGAGTTTTTATCAACTCTTTAGTTGACTTTTAGACTGTGATTGTGGTTGTTGTCTTTTGTAAGAAAACTACTAAAATTTTGTTTGAAGACGTATCTGTTTTAACCTCTTTGTTGTAGAAATAGTATTGTACTTTGATATAATGTATAAATGTTTTTTAAACAATCCTTTATTATTGTAAAAGTAATATGTATACTTAAAATTTAAACAAAGGTATGTGGGGAAAATGGAAGTTTGTTATAATTTTGTAAGACAAAAAACCACCTAAAAAATTGGGGAAAAAATGCTCTTTTTGCTTTATTTCTTTTGCTATAAATTCACATAAACAGCTGTCTATATATGTCTGTAAGTACATAAACATGTATTTACAGTGATATATGTAATTGCATATATTTTTATATCTTTATATTTTATATAGAATATGTGTGCTTTTTTTAACACAAAAATGGTATCTTATCTAAGACTTAATTTTTATTTAACACATTTGAAATCTCTTACTACTTTAATTCTTAAGTCTATTATTTAATTTGTGTTTTTGCCATGTTTTCTTTCTTTCTTTTTTTTAACACATTTTTAAACCAAATGCCTTCTGATGCATGTTTGGATTGTTTTTATTTTTCACTAATTGAACTACACTTGGGAGCTCTAGTGGCCTAGTGCCTAAGGCATTTGACTCTTGACCAGAAGGCTAGTGGTTCAAACCCACCAGCCACTCCTTGGAAGAAAGACTGGGCAATCTACTTACATAGAGATACTGCCTCAGAAACTCAAGGCAGGTTTGCTATGATTTGGAGCCAACTTGATGGCAGTGAGGTTTTTGTTATTTTTTCAGTGAAGAAGCATTCATTTGCATATATATTTGCATCTAAGCATTTCTGAAGGATAAATTCCTAGAAATACCTATATCAAAGGATATGCATATTGTATATATGTATATATACATGTGTGTATGTGTATGCATATATGTGTACACACACACACACACACACGTATATAAACTTTTTATGGTAATTTGGGTTCAGATTGATGGAACAAATCTATTTTCCATTCAATAGTCAAACACATTTGTTTCATGCCATTGATTGTGGTCCCTACAATGTAACAGTACTCATCCCACTTCCTCCCTGTTACCATTTCCACTTTTTCTTCTTTCCTGTCCCTTCCTACCTTCTCAACTTTGTCACTGGACAAATGCTGCCCTTTGATCTCAAATGGTTGGTTGGTCTGAACAATTTATACCTCCTTGGGGTTACTGTTCATCTTTGTAGATCTGTCTGTTGTTTAGTATTTTATATTTTTATACTCCTATTACTTACCCACTATCCATAAATGATGGTGCTGGTTTTACCAGTCTCTGACTGGTAATATAGTGCTAACCAGACCACTGCTGGTGGTTCAAACCTACCAGCCACTCCACAGAAAGAAGACTGGGCGATCTACTTCTCTAAAGATACACTGCTTCAGAAACCCAAAGGGAGTTGCTATGAGTCGAAATAGACTCGATGGTGGTGAGTTTGGTTTGGTTTTTGGCCAACATTGAGGATTAAAAGTTTCTGATCTGAAGGGTAGCAATAGTAGTGGCACAACATGACAAATATTATCAATGTCCCTGTTCTGGTTCCCTAGTGCCGCTCTGACAGAAGTATACCAAAAATGGGATGGCCTTAACAAGCAGGAGTTTATTCTTACAATTTGGAGGCTTTAAGTCCAAGTTCAAAGTGCCAGGCTCTAGGGGCTGAGTGAAAGCCCCTCAACTTTGGGGTCCAGCTCTGCCTCCTGCTCCTGGCCCCCTGGAGCTAGAGGTGTTTCTTCACTCAGACAGCTGCTGGCTGCAGAGGCTGAGAAGCCCCAAGGTTGACAAGTAAAAAGGCACAGTCCCAATGTTACCAAACCACACGGCAGGCCATTAACTTAAGTCCATTGTAAATCCCAAGGTCGGCAGAGCATAGCAGGCTACTGAGCAATGACATGGCTGCATGAAGGGTCCAAGCGTGCCAAAGGCTAGAGACCATTCTCGAAGCTTCTGCTTATATACAGGAAGCAGACCACATACCCAAAGGCAGCTACTCAGCTGCTTGTGGTAGATCCCACCATGGAGTTGATTGCCAGTCTCCTCATGGGGATTAACTCCCACCAGCTGCCCAGCGGCTCAACCAGGCCCAGCCAAGTTGACACAAACATAACCACCACAGTCCCTGAGCTATAAATAGGGAAGTTGTTACATTGGCGAATGTCTTGTTGTGTATGTTTTCACCACAATAAAAGTAAAAAAATAAAGTTTCTGATCTGAGAAGTGAAACTGATCTTGCTTAGGTTTAATATATATTTTTTGAATTATAATGAGGTAATTAGTATATTTTAGAACTTTTTTTGTAAATTGCTAGACATGTTGCTCATTTTTCTACTGTAATTTGACTTTTTTTTATTGATTTATAAGAGCTTATTTAAAGCTTTAATGCATATTATATAGGTTGCACATTTTTCTACTTACTGTTTATTCTCCAGCCCCTTTGCTTATCGTGTTTTTTTACCCTTCAGTGAATTTGTAGGGCACCTGTATGGCCCAGGCAGTGCTGTAATTGTTGAGATCACATGGTACTGCTCTCATGGAGGTTTTATTCTACTAGGGGAAAGAAATGACTATAAATTAATAGAAAAATAACTACATATATGCTGTGAGAGGATTATTTTGTATAAGGGGGTATGATACAGACTTGTAAAATTTTTTTATAAGGTTATATTTGTTTATTCATCCTATGTCATCTAGTGTTATGTTTTTCACATGTTTATCCTATTCAAGATTGTGAAAAACTATTAACAGTTTTTATAAGTGTTTAAAAGATAGTAATGGGAAAAGTTTATAAAATGAAGTGTAAACTTTCATACATTGATTATAAAATGTGTTTCTATAGAGTGATTTAACAATTTAGCAATACTATATTAAGAACTGAAAAATGTTTTCATATCTTTTCATCTACCAATTCCAGTTTTAGAAATCTAAGGGAATAAATAGAAAACAAAACAGAAAAACAATATATAAATATTCTTATTATAGTATTATTCTACTGGCAAAACTTTATAAATAGTCTGAATGTTCTATAAGAGGACAATAATCTAGTTGTTTTACATCTATTCAGTTATTTACCCATGAAATATTTATAGATAATTTCTGATTATAGGGGGAGAAAGCTTGCAGTGTGTTAATTGTAGGGGAAAAGAATGGAAGGGGATGTATTGAAACATTAACAGTAATTGCTTCTGGATGCTAGAGATTATGCATGATGATATTTTCAAAACTATTTTTCTGTAGTTTCAATTTACTATTATAAGAACATGTTATTTAAGAAAAAATAAATAGAAGTCATTGAAACATGTGTAACATGGCTGGTCAAAGGATGAAAGGTTATGGTTTGATTGTGCTTTACTTGAATAGATAATTAATATCTTGGTTATTTAATGATAACTAAATTTTTTTTTGAATTTTCTTTTTTAGGTTGCAGTACATAATGACAGTTATGATACTATTTATGGTAAAGTTTCCTTTTCCACTTTTCTTATCTTTAAAATATTGATTATATGAAATACTTTTGAGAAGCTTTTAATTTGTGAATCATTCTTAAATCTAGTTTCTTTAATCTGGTTCCATAATTGTTAATTCCTGAACAATGATGCATACCTAAGTGAAATGTTAGTTAGCATAAAGTTTTATTTGGATTAAATGTCACAGATATCCCTTTTACTGGCTATAACTTTCATGTTTTAAGTGTTGTTGTTGTGTGCCATCGAGTCGGACCCGACTCATAGAGACCCCTCCTTGGGTTTCCCAGGCAGTATCACTAAGGAAGTAGATTGCCCCATCTTCCTTCTGAGGAGTAGCTGGTGGGTTTGAACCGCCAGCCTTTTGATTAGTAGTCAAGTGCCTTAGGCACTGTGCTACCAGAGTGTAGACATTAATTTTTCTTTGTCCTTTAACTTTAATCTCAATTTGGTTCCTTAGCATATTTTCAAAAAGAATTAGAAGCAGCCAAACTAAGGTTAATCCAAATATTATTATTTATATCTTGTTTTATTCTGGAACTTGTATAACATGACTGGTCAAAGGATTAAGGATAAAAGGAGCTCTGGTAGCATAGTACCTAAGGTACTTGACTGCTAAACAGAAGGCTGGCAGTTGAAACCCACCAGCCACTCCTCAGAAGGAAGGTTGCACAATCTACTTCTGTAGTGATACCGCCTTGGAAACCCAAGGAGGGGTCATTATAAGTCAGGTCCGACTCCACGGCACATAACAACAACAACTAACAACAGTAATTTTCAGGTCCAGGAGTCTTGATTTATTTGTCTTTTTGTCTCATTTTTAGTCAATTGCTTAATTTTATAATTATCTTTTTTTTTGTAGGAAGTTTAGTGAACTCTTTGAATACCTCAGAGTTTGAAGAATCCATGGATTGCGAACAAACTAGCTTGAATAGGAATAATAATATAAAATTTTCTGTGTGGGTTTCTTTCTTTGAGATTTACAATGAATGTATTTATGACTTGTTTGTTCCGGTGTCATCCAAGTTCCAAAAGAGGAAGATGTTACGCCTTTCCCAAGATGTAAAAGGCTATTCTTTTATTAAAGGTATATCACTCGATATTTTTATTTTATTGCTCCAAATCTCCCTTTTAGAGTTTGTGATAGCTTAAAAGAAGCAAGATACAAATTAAAATTTTTTATACTAATTCACATCAAGAAGAGGAATGTGTGCTATGTATGTATGTATATATGTATGTTTTAGTATGTTCATTAACACTTGAAAACAAGGGGTCTATTTTAGTATTATGTTTGCTTAAGTACCAGGTTTTTGGAGACGGGAAAAGCTGGGTGTATTGAAAGTCACATTTTTCTGCTTCTTTGTGACAAGTGTCCAGGCTTTGCAACTATGAAATGCTACTACACTTCCACAGTGTTTTTGAACTACATTAAAACATTGCCCACAGTAAGAAATACATATTAATAACATCATGACCAGTACCTGCATAAGTGTGTGAATGCAGATATATTTATAACTCAAAAGTTTCAGTAAGCATTCTTAGCCTTACTATAAGGAGTACTGTCATGCTTTCTATATTCTCTGTCCGTTTTAAAAATTGCTGGTTGTGACTCAATTAATTTGATTTCATGACTCACTAATAAATTGCACCCTGCTGTGTTTCACATCTAGGTAATTTTGCATTTTTCTTCATCATTCTGGGTTTCTGATTCTAAGGAATCTTACTTGTTGTGAATTTTCCTTTTGGCAGAGTGTTGAAGATATTTACTTTGTGTCATTTTATAACAAATACATGAAAACATAAATACTAGAATATAACATATTCTGTAACTTCTTTCTAGTAGCATATGGAATAGCTGTGTTGACTCCATCTAGGATGTCTTAGTAAAAGAAAGACTTCTTCATAAGTTGCTAGGAAGAGATCTTTTACAAGATTATATTGTAGACAAATCCTGTATTTTTATGAAATTGATGTGACTTTTTTTTTTTGCTTTTTTTAAGATCTTCAATGGATTCAAGTTTCTGATTCCAAAGAAGCATATAGACTTTTAAAAGTAGGGATAAAGAATCAGAGTGTTGCTTTCACAAAACTGAACAATGCTTCTAGCAGAAGGTAAGGTGCAAACTGTATAGTAAGCCTGAATCACCCAGGGTATCCTGTCCTAATGTAAAATATAACTAGTTTGAGCTTCAAGTAGGCCGTAGATTCTCTGATATGTCAAGTGAATTTGCAGGCAGAAAAGCATTCTGTAAACTGAAGAGCGTTAAACATAAGAATATCAATACCATTTCTTATCCTAACATTAGTTTTGTTGATTTTAGGGAAACCACATGAGTATTTTTACTTTCTCTTTGTGTGAATGTCTGTGGTCACTATTGTCAAAGCTGCTTATATTAGTAGCCTTTTCTATTTGCTTTTCCCACTTACCCCATAAACACAGATACTACAGACATACTGAATTAGGACATAAATCTTAAGGAGTTTTTAATGGAAGGGATTGGGGATTGGAAGACAAAAGGATCTAAGTTTTAAGCAGTGTGATATGTAAAATAGCTTCTCTCTCAAAAGGAGCTCTGATGGCACTGTGGTTAAAGCATTGGGCTGTTAACCAAAGGTTAGTAATTTGGACCCATCAGCTACTCCTTATTCAAAGAAGATTAGCTGCTCATAATACCATTTTAATTATTTGATTCTTAGAGGTAAAATAGAAATTAGAATGTCAAAAGAAGGAACAGGTTTAGACTTGGTGAAAGATACTTGGTTTTAGGTAGGTAGGTATATGGGTGACAGTAGAATGTTGGGTTAACATAGCTGGCAGCTAGTGGAAATAGAGTACTGTAGCTAGATGTTTGGGAATTAATGATTTAGGATATAAATAGAGGTTGATTTAGATGCGTGTCTCTTCTGTTTACCGAGCCCTGGTGATGCAGGGGATTAGAGAGCTCTGCTTCTAACCTAAGGTTGGCAGTTTGAGCCCATTAGCCACTTCTAGGGAGAAAGATATGGCAGTCTGCTTCTATAAAGGTTTACAGTCTGGAAACCCTCTGGTGCTATTTAATTCTGACCTATAGGGTCACTGGGAGCTCTGGTGGCGTAGTGCCTAAGGCATTTGACTGCTAACGAGAAGGCTGGCAGTTCAAACCTACCAGCCACTCCTTGGAAGGAAGATTGGGCAATCTACTTCCATAGAGATACCACCTTGGAAACTCAAGGAAGGGTCACTGTGAGTCTAATTAATTTGACAGCAGTGAGTTTGGTTTTGTTTGTTTTTTTTAATAGGGTCACTATAAATTAGAATCAACTTGACTTTAGTGGGTTTGGTTATTTTTTGTTTACTCTCATATTTAGAATGCAAAAATTAAAAATGAAAGATAACATTTTATCTTTGTATATTTCCTTTTAGTCACAGCATATTCACTATTAGAATATTACAGATTGAAGATTCTGATATGCCTCGTGTAATTCGAGTCAGTGAGTAAGTTGAGCATTTAAAAAATTGTAATTAGTTTGGATTGTTTTGAAAGACTTTTAAAGTAATTTTTTTTTTTTTTTTTTAAACACAGATTGTCTTTATGTGATCTTGCTGGTTCAGAACGAAGCGTGAAGACACACAATGAAGGTGAAAGGTTAAGAGAGACTGGAAATATCAACTCTTCTTTATTGACCCTTGGAAAGTGTATTAATGTTTTGAAGAACAGTGAAAAGTCAAAGTAAGTGTTGCTGAAAGTAAGTGCTGTTAAGATATTAAGGGTCATAATATTTAAACTTTTGGTTTTGCTAGTTTTAGACAGTTCTTCTTTGTTTTTGATGTGCTTGTTATGTAGTAAGTGTATGGTTATGATGAAAATACCTAGAGATGTTAGATTAAAAAAAATAAAGTAGAAATGAAAAATAATGTAGTCAACAGCAGTCACTTATCAACTGAACACAATATTTTCCATTTTGTAAGGTGCCACTGAGTTGATTTCAACTCATAGTAACCCCATGTAACAGAGTAGAATTGCTCCATACTGTTTCCTAAGCTGTAATCTTAACAGAAACACATCACCATGTCTTTCTTGCACTGAGTGCACTGAGCCACTGGGTGGTTAGAACCGACACCCTTTCAGTTAGCAATCAAGTAACCATTTGTGCTGCTAGGACTTCTTAATATTCCATAACACATATTAAATACTGGCAGACAGTTTGGATAATGAGCTTCTCATGCTTCTGCTTTAGTAGTTAAAACTACTTTATTCTTACTAATGCATTTTGTGTGTTCTTTTAGTTATGATAGATTTCTGCATAAATTAACATTTAGGCAGGGTAAATGAGGAGTCAGCCTTCACTTTTCTTAGTTATATCCTGTCATCTGTCTCATAATTGGTCTACAGGAGGGAACACAACCCTGTTAAATGTGCTTTTCTTAAAACTTGGCTCAGTGTGTGGTGTTATTGGTGGTGGTGGTTGCTGTCGAGTTGATTCTGACCCATGGCTACCACGTGTGCAGAATAGAACTGCACTCCACGGAGCTTTCAAGGCTGTGACTTTTGGAAAGCAGATGTCCAGGCATTCCTTCTGAGGTCCCTCTGGGTGGGTATAAACTGCCAACCTCTTGGTTAGTGTAGTGCTTCACCATATGTGCCACCTATGGAATCCAGTTATTAGTAGTGTGGTATTTAAAGAACACGGAATCAATAAACAGAAAGCAACCATGACAGGTGGAACTAATGACTAACCTAGAGTTTAAATACATGGCAATTGGATCAATTCTTTGTAAAATTTATCAATATCTTGTCTTCATGAAATTTCTTTAAACTCATTGTTTTTTGAAAATTTTTTTCTATAGGTTTCAACAGCACGTGCCTTTTCGGGAGAGTAAACTCACCCACTATTTTCAAAGTTTTTTTAATGGTAAAGGGAAAATATGTATGATCGTCAACATCAGTCAGTGTTGTCTTGCCTATGATGAAACACTCAATGTACTGAAGTTCTCAGCCATTGCACAAAAGGTAAATGTATTTAAACTTCTGCAGAATATATTAAATCTCTTCTGATTATTAGAAAATTAGCTTTCTTTTCTTGGAGTGAATAATATATTTCACATTTATTACTTGAAACCTGAGGAATAATTAAGAGTTAAAGATGTAAATATTTGATGAAGTAGAAAAAATAGGAAAGAGATTGAAAGTTGCCTTTGTGAGGATTAAAATGACCTTAGTAATAAAGGTTAATAATAAACATGAGTTTTAAATTATGAATGTTTTTGGAATGAATTGTCTGCTCCGCACCATCCGGGTTCAGTTAGTCCCCCTGTGTATATGCTTCTGTAGTACTAAGAGCTTAACCCAGAAAGGAGATTTATCTGTATTTACATGTATGATTAGATTTTTCTTATTGGAATGTTCATTTATTGATGCTAATTTCCTTTTTTGTGAATTTGTTTGTGTAGTTTTTTCTTTTAAAATTCAAGTTGTCATTTGATTTACATTTGTAAAATTGATTGTCTTTTAGTGGACAGTCTTTGTCTTTTCTGTTTTAAAAGTCACAATGGATATTTTAACAGGTTTTTGTTCCAGACACTCTAAATACCTCTCTAGAAAAATCATTTGTGCCTGCCAAATCTTGTCAAGATATATCATTAGACATTAATGATTCAGGCAATAATGTAAAAAGAACCACCATTTCATGGGAAAGTAATCTGGAAGATCTGGTAGAAGATGAAGATTTGGCTGAGGATGTAGAAAAAAATGAAGAAAACCAAAATGAGAGAACTGAATTTACTGAAGAAGATCTAGATGAAACATTAGAGGAAGACAAGACTGCCATTAGTCAAGAAAAGAGAGTACGTAATAATAACTAAATCCTTGTAAACTTGGTTTATTATAATTATCAAGTTAAAGTTAACGATTCTTAAGGCCCCCTCCTCCATACTTTTCAACAATCCACCAAGCTTTTTCTCCCTCAACTTTATACTTTATACTTTGAAACCTACAGAAAACTTAGTAAACTAAACATCTATTCACCTATTTACCCTTTACCTGGGTTCGCCAATTACTAATATGTGTGTGTGTGAGCATGTGTATATGTGTGTATATACTTTTATATATATATATATATATATATATATATATATATTTGAGAGCTCTGGTGGTGTAGTGCCTGCATTTGACTGCTAACCAGAAGGCTAGTGGTTCAAACCCACCAGCCACTCCTCGGAAGGAAGACTGGGAAATCTGCTTCTGTAGAGATGCCACCTTGGAAACCCAAGGAGGGTTCGCTCTGAGTCGGATCCGACTCAACAGCAGTGAGTTCGTTTTTTTGTGGTTTATACATACATATATGTGTGTGTATATATATATATACACACACACACACAACAATTATTTTTTATGTCAGTAGGCTTTTTTTTTTTAATTGTGATTTGGGTGAAAATTTACAGAGCAAATTCACTTTCCATACAGCAGCTCACATACACTTTGTCTCATGACATTGACTACAATTTACCACAATGCAACGGCTACCCTCCCATTTCTTCCCCATAGTTACCTCTTTCTTGTGTCCTTCCCTCCATGCACTCCTGCCCCCTGGGCTGTCTCCCTGTGCATGCACAGCCCTTCTAATCTCCCATGATTGTTCTCTTCAAGGAGTGTATCTACCTAGTGTAAATGTTCAGCTCATATGCCTGTCTCTTATTTGTCTGGAAGCCACAGGAGTGGGTTCAGTTCCAGACCTGAAGGGCAGCCATAGTCTCATTGGCTCCATTAGGCTCTATCATACCAGCAAACCTGGACCGCTTTTTTTTCTTAACGTTTGAAATGGTTTATATTTCTATTATATTTCAGCATATATATTCTAAGAAAATAGAAATATTCTTCAGAATCTTAAGACCTTTTCCTACTCAAGAAATTTAACATTGGTGTAATAATCTATTATACCACTTGTATTCAGACTTATCCAGTGGTCCTACTTTATCTTTTGTAGCTCATTTGTTTTAAGACATACAACCAAAAGTAGCACATCATTTTTGCTTGTCATTTCTTTAGTCATCTATAATCTAGTATTCATATTTTTACCAAGTTGGGAATAGTTGTTATGTAGAATCCCTGAAATCTGCATTTGGCTGGTTCCTCATAATTCCTCATAATTGAGGTTTAACACTTTAAACCCATATATCATAGGAGTGGAAGGAAGGTTGGGCAATCTACTCCCATAGTGATAGTGCCTCAGAAACCCAAGGAGGGGTGGGGTCCCTGTGAGTCGGGTCTGACTCGATGGCACCTAACAACAACAACAACATCATATAGGAGCTCAGGTGGCATAGTGCCTAAGGCATTTGACTGCTAACCAGAAGTTTGGCAGTTCAAACCCACCAGCCACTCCTCGGAAGGAAGGTTGGGCAATCTACTTCCGTAGTGATACTGCCTCGGAAACACGAGGGGTTGCTGTGAGTCAGATCTGACTCAACAGCAGTGAGTTTTTTTTTTTTTTTTTTTATCATCATATAGGTGAGGCTGTGGATTTCCCATTGCATCACACCGGGATCCACATGTCTGATTTTCTTTTTTTGGTGAGGCTAAGTTTTTCTTAACTTGACTAAGGTAATATAAAAGCACTTAATCTGTAAGGATAATAATTTGAGACCATGTGAATGTCCTGTTCTGCAGTGGTTTTAGCATACTTCCACAAACTTAATTTGCAGTTTTAAAAGCATGTGTTCAAAATATCTACCTAGTACCAATTGAGAGTTCTGGTAGCCTAGTGCCTAAGGCACTTGACTGCTAACCAGAAGGCTGGTGGTTCAAACCCACCAGCCACTCCTCGGAAGGAAGATGGGGCAATCTACTTCCATAGTGATACTACCTTGGAAACCCAAGGAGGGATCACTATGAGTCGGGTCTGATTCGATGGTACATAACAACAACAACTGTACCAATTATCCTAATTCTTCATAAACAGTTATTGCTTAGTAATCTAATTTTTATGGTAAATAAATAATATTTAAGAGTGTTTTTTTTAGCTTCTGCCTACATACAGTTCTCTTATCTGTTTAAGGTGATTTAATCCTGAAATTTAGATCATGTCTACGTTACTAATTTCCCTTATTAATTGACCATAAGTACATATGTATATATACATAGTCTTCTAACCAGTATCCTGGGAATACTGGTAAACCTGTGTTTGTGAATATGCTTTAAGGATGTTGACATATCTCACATTATAGAGCTCTTTTGGCCTGTAGCAGTCCAAATAAAATGAATGATATATTGGGTTAAATACTGTCATTTTAGTAATTTATTTAAGCGCCCTTGAAAGCCATTATTGCATCTCTATTGTTTGGAGCTCTGGTAGCATAGTGCCTAAGGCATTTAACTTCTATCCAGAAGGCTGGCGCTTCAAACCCACCAACCACTCCTTGGAAGTAAGATTGGGTGATCTCCTTCTGTGGTGATACAGCCTCAGAAACCCAAGGAGGGCTCATTAAGAGTCGGACCCAGCTCAACAGCAATGAGTTTGGTTTTGGTTTTTATTGTTTAGAAACCAAAAAGGAAAGCTTTTGATGCAATACAAGTCCTAGGTCACTAGGTAATTGGACCTTATTTACTTGGGCTTCTGTAATACAATAGTTTCCTCAGTGAAAAAAGCAATTAGTAGTAGCACTGTTTTAGTTTGGATTGAATTTTTCAAACAAAGTTATTTATTAAATTTGAAATGTTAATAAAATTTCTGAATTTACTGAGGAAAGTGTTTAATACTGTGGTTTATGATGTATTATATGGTATAAATTCATTCTTTTTGTAAGTTTGACTAGATACTTAAAAAATTTCATCAGAGCTTTATTTAATATTTGAATTATAAAAATAGAAGTGATCGGGTTTTGCTTGCTTATCTTAGCATTTTAATTGAAGGATTGAGACTATTACAAATCATTAGGAAATGTATTGATAATATAAACCCATTGCCCTTGAGTTGGTTGAGACTCATGGTGACCTCCATTGGGTTTTCAAGGTGGTAAATCTTTATTGAAGTAGATTGCCTCATCTTCCTTCCATGGGATGTCTGGTGGGTTTGAACTGGGAACCCTCTGGTTAGCAGTCAGATGCCTTAAGCACTGCACCAGCAGTGCTCCTTATATTGATAATAGTATATTTATGCTTATACCAGAAGATGACTACACTAGTTTAAAGTAAAATAAACAAACAACAAAAAAAAATCACTCCCATCGAGTCAGATCTGACTCATAGCAACCCCTCCTTGAGTTTCTGAGGCAGTATCACTATGGAAGGAGATTGCCCAACTTTTCTTCCAGGGAGTGGCTGGTGGGTTTGAACTGCCAGCCTTCTGGTTAGCAGTCAGATGCCTTAGGCACTACACCAACAGAGCTCCCAAAAGTAGAATAGCCAACCAAAATTTTCCTTTCAGCCAAAATAATCAGGTGCTAATAATGATTTAAAAACCCCAAAAACCTAATTGTTGGGAATTATTCAAATAAGCCAACTCTCCAAGGTATTGCCACATTCGTGCTGATATATCTAAGTCTCTCACATCTCTCCTCCCATAGTTATTATTTATTGCTTTAAACAGTGGGAACGTTGGTGATTGTTTAAAATTAGAAAAGTAGTATGTGTCTATGGTAAAAGCTGGGAATATATAAGAAATATAAAAATATAAATGTAAAAATCTCTTTAATCTTTTTAAATCATGTTAATGGATTTTTATTACACATTACTGTTTTGTAACATACTTCCTTTTTTTAAAAATTAAGTTATAAATTGTATGTATTTAATGCAAATCATCATTATTGATTGTATACTACTATATTTTTTCTCAAATAACATGTGCCTTCTACTGTTTGCCAACTGCCACCCTCCTCCCACAGAGGTATTTTTATAAGCACTGCTATGCCAGTTTAAAAAAAAATAGCATAACACACTTACAAAAATATCTCCTGGGGAAGTAGCAGGTGATAAACAAATGTAGAAGGCGTGTGTTATTTGTGAAAAAAAATAGGGTAATTTAATGTATGAGTCTACCATAATTGAACCAATACCTTATGATTGGCTATTGAGTTGAGTTTCACTTTTCCTATATTTAAATACAACTACTACCACCACAAAATGACAACACTGATAATCATTCTTACAGCTGAAACATTTGGGTCATGGTTTGTAATTATGTATATCTTCAGTGTAAGTTCTTAGAAGCAGAAGTTCTGAGTCAGAGTATCTATAGAAATACTTTCAAATATTAACTTGAGACATTAAAAATCTGTACTTTTCAAAAAAGGATATTGATAAATTTATGGTTAGAAACTTTAATAAGAAACCTTAAAAAAAGAGTATCTGGCTGTTTTGTTTAATGTTGTAATTTCTTTTATTATGCATATGTAGTGGCCATGCAAAGTGTTAGGTCCTTTATTTGGTCTCGTGTGTACAGTTTTAAATTCTGTAGAGTTGTTGCCAACATTTGGATAATATAAAAGTCCAATAAGATAAATTTATGTAGCATCGCTCCCTGGTACTTTGGAAAGTGTTTCTGGTTTCTTAGCAACCTAACTCTTCTACACAGCACTTGGAGTTTAGAATTTGACAGACCAGTTTTGGGCCCTTAACTTTGGTCCTTACTTTCCCTACTTGAGATAGGTGAATGTTACTAAGCTCACAGAGAGTTGTGTGGATTAAAAGGAATTATGTATGGAACTTCCCCAAATATTTTAAAGTGGTGTAAGTAGACACTTAGGAGACATTTTAGTTAATGTAAGTCTATATCTAAAATGTGGAAAGTTGTATTTGACTTTCCAGATGAACAGATCTCTGTAAATGTATAGTTTTTAGTTATAATTATTTTTAAACGGATGCATGATTATAAGCAATTAAATGAAAAGAGTAAGAATTTTAATTTATGGATATCTGGGCAGTTTTTCTCTTGGGATATGTTTGTTCTTTTTTTTAAGAATTTTAATATATACGTGTTTTAGAAACTGTTGGATTTAATTGAAGACTTGAAAACAAAACTGATAAATGAGAAAAAAGAAAAGTTAACATTAGAATTCAAAATTCGAGAAGAAGTTACACAAGAGTTTACTCAGTATTTGGCTCAACGGGAAGCTGACTTTAAGTAAGTTGTTTCTTTCATGTCCTGGTAAAAACTGAGAATTTTGTTTACTTGTTTTATATTAGCTACTATCAGAAGTAAAGAATTGACTTCTGTGCAAGATTGAAAATGACTATTAGTAATCCCTGTGGTGATTCTGAATTACATGTGGGTGATTATTTAAATTTGCTTTTAGTTTATAATGTATTTAATCTTAGACATTTAAAACAAGAACATGAAGTCATACTTTTTCTGCTTCTTAATGAGATTAATTTGTGTTATGAAGGGAAACTCTCCTTCAGGAACGAGAGATAATGGAAGAAAATGCTGAGTGTCGTTTGGCTATCTTCAAGGATTTGGTTGGTAAATGTGACGTTCAAGAAGGACCAATGAATGAAGATTGTGCCTTGAAAGTTGGAACGGAAGTAAGTGAACTGAAATAAAAAACAACAACAACAACAACAGAAAACACAATGAGGTTTTTTGGTATTAGGATTTGTGTGCTACATAAATGCTGAGAAATAATATATTTTAAAATTAAAAACTTAAAAAAGCTTTACTATGTAGCTTTATTATGATTAAGCATGTTTTGTTAGAAATTTAAGTGCATGTAGTTTTATGTAGCAGTTGGACTTTGAAAACTTTTTACCTCTTATATTTATGTCTCATTTGGTATTACTTATTGATTCTAAGTGTCTATACCTTTTTCTCTAATTAGTGGATACCTCTCCCAGATTTGTTTAAGCTTGAAGAATGTTAAATATATATGGAGCTTAAGAGCTCATCTAACTGATGAGATTAAACTGATGTGATTAGCACAAAATGATGTAAGAAATACTTATTTTCAAATATATGAAAAACATTGCCTTTAATGCACAAACCATTCCTTCCTGTTGTGGAAACATTATCCTTTTCTGTACACCATTTCTGTGCTGCCACTGAACCTGAAATGGGTCAGAATTTTTTCTTTTTTTTGGTGGTTCTTTTTAATCACTCACATCAGGGGCCTGGGATGGTAAACTATAGTCTCTTGCTGTCAAAACACCATTATGTGTCCCTAACGTGGTGTGGGACTTGGAATGAGATGTGAAAATGGAGGTTTGTTTACTGTACTTTTCCTCCAGAGCCTTTTAAAACTCATTACATATTGAACCTATACATGAATTAGGTAATCATAATTACTCTATAATGATTTATCAGTTTTTGACTATTTTATTATGAGAAAATATACCCTGTACTCCATACAACCAAAAAAGGAATAATGGAGCAAATTTTTTAGATTTCAAATTGTGATTTTTTTCATCTATTTTTGAGACTGTTCAAATCATGTGGTACCACACTGTAAGAGGGAAAGACACTTTTAACATTAGGCATGTGGTTTTTGCTGTTTTTAGGAAACACATAATTGTGTAGAAATTGAAGATATTATTGATTCTCTTCAAGATGATGTCACTGATATTAAGAAACAGGCTGAAATTGCTCACTTATATATTGCATCTCTTGCTGACCCCCAGGAAGCCATTGCTTGTTTAGAACTAAAGTTTAATCAAGTTAAAGCTGAATTAGCTAAGACCAAAGAAGAATTAATCAGAACCCAAGAAAATTTGAAAAAGAGAGAAAATGGTAAGTAAATTATATTTCCTTCAGTTAGATACAGTAAACACATAAATAATACAGTTTGTAAGTATAAGATATTCATGCAATTTACTTACGAAAGTGACCAGAAAATTCTTTGATCTAGGTAACATACTTAATATTTTATCACTTATATGACTTTTTATTAACTTTATATTAAATATTTTTCCTTCATCTGCTTTTCAACAATCTTTATCAGGAAATGAAGGAATCACATACGATCTATGGAATGAGTGTGTGCATGTGTGTGTGTAGTATATGTATACATGTGTGTATGTGTAATATGTGTATATATGAGATTGTCACGTCTGGTTTTTAAGAGTTGTATGAGCTACTCTGTGCTCTGCCCTTTTCTGTATGAAAGAAGAAGAATGGAAAGTAGTAGGTAAATGTTGTCTCCAACTTCATGAAGTAAACCAGAGAAACACTAGATCGTCTCTCCTCTGACATTAAACTGGTAGTTCTTTACTACTTAGCCCCTCGAGGAGCTATTTGAAAGTGGCTTTTTCTGCTCCATCGCTCTGTGGTGGTAGAATTAGCCACTGAGCGTTGTGTGTATTTACTAGCAGTCACAATCTTCTTTCCTGAAGGTGATGTTAGTTAGTATCTACTATGACAACTTATGTTATAATAACTGTGTTTCATAGTTATTCCATAATATAGTTTTTAGTTGCTTAGGTGCTTATAAGGAGCTCTGGTGGCACAGTATTAAGGCATTCAGCTGCTAACCAAAAGGTCAGCAGTTCAAATCCACTAGCCACTCTATGGAAGAAAGATGAAGCAGTCAGCTTCTGCAAAGATTTACAGCCTTGGAAATGCTATGAGGGGCAGTTCTACTCAATCTTTTTTTTTTTTTAAATTTTTATTGTGATTTGGATGAAAGTTTACAGAGCAAATTCACTTTCACTTTGTCTCATGACATTGACTACATTTCCCACAATGCAACAGCTCCCCTTCCACTTCTCTGCATAGTTACCTCTTCCCTTTGTCCTTCCCTCCCATGCACTCCTTCTGCCCCCAGCTGTCTCCCTGTGCATACACAGCCTTTCTATTCTCTCATGATTGATCTCTCCAAGGAGTGTATCTGCCTAATGTAAATGTTCAGCTGATATGCCTGTCTTTTGTTTGGCTGGAAGCCACGGAGTGGGTTCAATTCCAGACATGAAGGGCAGCTAGGGGCTGTAATCTCCGGGGTTCCATGAGGCTCTATCAGACCAGCAAACCTGGTCCTTTTTTTTTGTTAATGATTTTGAGTTTTGTTCCACATTGTTCTTCCCCTCTATCCAAGATCTCCTACATAGATACCCCTCAGAGTGGTTGACAGTGGTAGCCGACCACCATCTAGTTCTTCTGGTCTTAGAGTTATATAGGCTGAGGATCACATGGTGTACTAGTCCCTTGGACTAATTGTTTCCAAGCGTCTTTGGTTTTTTTCATTCTTCTTTGCTTTGGACAAGGAGAGACCCATTATTGCATCTAGATGGTCACTTCCAAGCTTTTAAGATCCCAGTCGCTACTCACCAAAGTAGGATGTGAGATAGTGTTTTGGGTGGTGTGTTATGCCAGTTGAGTTTGATGTCCCCTGCAGCTGTGGTCCTGAGCCCACAGGTCCAACTACGTGCTCCCTCTGGATAGTTGGCTGTGCCCAAGAAGTGACTAAAACCTTGCCCCTTGTCAGCTCTACCATATACCTGTGAATTCTTATAGAACATACAATACACTTGTAGAAACATTGTCTGCCAACCCTATACGTGGTCTTGGGCACACTCCCTCTGCATAGACATACCTAATAATTCAGGCTATCCACCCATCTATCCATGTTTGACTTCACTGACAACACAGTGCTGTATGTGCAAAAGGGTTCATCTTTGTTGTCTATACTTTCCATGCACCTCTCTATGTCTTCCTTTTCCTCAGTGCCACCATGTTGATCACTCAGATTTGGTGCATTGCCTTTTTCTTCACCCAAATCAATACTTGTCTCTACCTATGTAACAGTGTTCCCTCCCTTCTCCTCCCACCCCTGGTAACCAGCAAAGAAAATTTCCTCCCATATATAAACCTTTCTTTGATTTTTTTACAATAACAAACTAATACAATATTTGTCCTTTTGGGACTGACTTATTTCACTCAGCATAATGTCCTTCAAGTTCATCATGTTATGTGGTGTTTTGCTGATTTTGTATTATTCTTTAGGGTTGCATAGTATTCCATTGTGTGTATGTACCATACTTTGGTTATCCCTTATTCTGTTAATGGGCACCTAAGTTGTTCCCATCTTTTTGCTGTTGTAAATAATGCTGTGATGAACATGGGTGTGCATATATTTGTTCTTGTCCTGGCTATCACTTCTTTAGGATGTATACCTAGTAATAGAATTGCTGAGTCAAATGGTATTTCTAATTCCAACCTTTTAAGGAATCTCCATACTACTTTCAACAGTGGTTGTATCATTTTACAGTCCCACCAGCAATGTATAAGAGTCCCAATCTCTCTACATCCTCTCCACTATTT